GGGGCGGGGCCGGGCTGCGGGAGCCGTGCCGAGACCCTCGTGCGGGGGGGAGCGGAAAGCGGAGCAGCGGATGGGGCAGGGAACAATGAGTGGGGAATGGCAAAGGGAGCAGCGGATGGGGGAGGGAGCACTGAATTGGGAGCGGAAAGTGGAGCAGCAGATGGGGCAGGGTGCTGAAAACGGATTGGGCAGGGAGCGCTGAGTTGGGAGCTGAAAGCAGAGCGGCAGATGGGGGGAGCGCTGAGTTGGGAGCTGAAAGCAGAGCGGCAGATGCGGGGAGTGCTAAGTCAGGAGCGGAAAGTGGAGCAGCAGATGGGGGAGGGAGCGCAGTGGGAGCAGAAGGCAGAGCAGCAGATGAGTGTGAGAAGGGGATCCCACTGGCACTGGGGGCGGGCATGGGGCTGATTTGTTGCACACCTCCCCAAAGGGTTGGTCCCTAGTGCTGGGCCCCGGCCCTCGAGCAGGGTGGGATGTTTCTGCAGAGCACCAAAAGCCCTGATCCCGTCCCCGACGGCCTGCAGGATTATTTGGCGGGTGAAGTGTACAGGGGGATCCCTGCCAGTCGCTGAAGTCCAAGCGAGTTTGGACTCCATATTCCCTGGATACGATGCGGCATGACGGCCAGAAGGCCGAGAGCAGGACAGCATCAGCATGCAGCCCTCGGGAACGTCCCCAGCTTCCTTTAGATTCAGTCTGAGTGGATCAGGATTGTGACCTTGTGTTCATGGCAGCTGCAAAACCGAATCCTCCTGCACGGCTTATAAAGTAGAGCCCGACTCGCAGCCTGTGGGTGACGGGGGCGTGGGTTTCATTGACAGGTCTGGAAAACAGGAGTAGTTCATACATGACATGCAATAATGTTTCCCTGCTGTCTCCTCCAGCGGTTTAGCCGGCACTGAGCACAGAAGCGGCTGGATACGTGACGGGATACAAGTCAGATGCGACCGCTGGATGGTAGCTACCAAAGCAGTCAAGTTGCAAAGCTTTGACACTTCCTAGCATTACAGGAGCACCAATGTACATCCAGTTGCGTGGTCTTGATAGACCAGCCTGCCTCGCAGTCTAAACCCTGAGGCCTTGTTGAGATTCGAAAGACCCTGCAAAGGCGTACTCCCCCTTTATCAGGCCACGGTTCTCCTTCGAGGTGAAGCAGGAAAGCCGTGTTTAGAAAAGGAGCAGAGAAGCGGCAATGCTCAATCACCCTTTGGCAATCAGGTTTGCAAACCTGCAGCTTCCAGAGCTCCTCGTTTCCTAAGGGCATTAAGCATCAGTAGAGCATCCATCATGGCCTGCACCTGGATGCTGTTGAACAAGACCCGGTGGATGACTTCTGATGGCTTAAGACCCCTGATATTTTTTAGTTGTTGAAGTCAAGGGAAATGAAATCGTTCTTTTTTAGCTTGGTTTCTGGTTCCTGAGGGCAGAACACATGATTACACGGGGGAAGAAATTAACTGTGGTGCGGGGCGTTTAGCAAAAGCATCTGTACCATGTTTAAGTCCTCAGCCTAGACCTCTGACAGACAGGGATGGGGCAGGGAGCCTGGTCTGGCGCAAAGCAGAACGGCCTGATGGTTTCCCATGTATCCTCACAGGAGCAGGAAGGATTTCTCATCTACTGTCTGGTGGAGCTGGCCATGTGGCTTGAGCCCCATTGAAACCGGTGATTGATTCATGCCAGCTCAAGGCTGGAGGGTGTCTGACGGAGGTGCTTTTCCTTGGAGACTCCAAACTCAGGCTGTGAGATACAACCTGCTTATTAGTGCCCCGCCGGGCAAAAGCCTGGGGTCTGCTTATCGCCAGGAGTGTCTCACTGGCTGCCCATGAGATGGGGAGACACGGCTGCCGAACCAGGCTTTGATTGCAGCGATTATAGTTCCTTGAATTTGTAACGGTGGGAAGATGGAGGGATGGTAATTCTGCATTATTATGCAGAAACACGCGGAGCTGTCAATGCCGCAGGTAAACACGGCAGCAGGAAGACATTAATCTTTGCACATTAACCGAAGCGTTGGCTTGCTGCGTTCGGTCGTGTACCGCTGTGAGCACCGGGTAGCCTTGCTCCTTCCCTCTGCTGTGCGAAGGACCAGGTGCAGCAGGCCCAGAGGATCCTAGTGGTCCCTTCTGATTTGTGAACCGAGTAGCCGGGGGTGATGCTGAGCTGGGATTTGGATAGACGGTGTCCTTGTGCCCCCGTCTCATCCTCTCGCCCTGTTCATCCAAGTTCCCTCATTTGTTGTAGCAGAGCTAACCAACCTGCCCCAAGAGCCTGTGTTTTTGGATCAAAGCCTCAAGTCAAACCCTCAGCCCTCTCTCCCGCACGCTCCTTGCTGCTCTTGCTCCTTGCAATACTTCTGCACACATAGAGCCCAAGGTGAGAGGAGCAGGACCAGGCCCTAGCAAACTCCCCCCTTCTCAGCTCTGCACCAGACCCTTAGCTGGCTTGGCTTGGTGTCATGATGCATTGCAATCCAGGTTCACTTCCCAGCTCTGCCACTGGCCTGCTGGCCGACCTTGGGCAAGTCACCTCCCTGTTCCATGCCTCAGTTTCCCCAGGCTTATAATGGGGCCGATGAGAGTGACCTCTGAAAAGTGCCATACGATTTATGACGCAAAGCACTACACGCCGATCGGCACCGCCGGAAGCTGGGGAGAGCTAGAAATTCATCTCAAGGGCTGGCATAGCACCAGCCTGCAGCATTCCTCCTCCATCCCCAGCTGGGATTTCCTTGCTTTTTTTAGCTTTTAGATACATCAGCGCATAAATGCTCCGGGTTCAGTGGGGATGTTTCTTATTAAGTTGATGTGCTTCCCCATAAAAGCCGCCAGTTGCCATGGGTCTGACCAGAAAGGCTGACTTTTAATTGCCTTGTATTTGAATGGGGGTTTCTTCTCCCGTTTTCCTTCCATCACCTGGAGGTCAACAGTTTGTTTAAATTCAATATTGTTATTGACCTGCCAGAACTTGGCCTTGTGTATTTGTCTTCTAGGAGGATCGATGCCTCTTTATTCCCAATGTGGTTAGTATTGACTTAGAAGAAAGATTGTGCTGCTCTCTGAAGTACTTCTGTATGGAGAGGACCCTTGTGTTGATGAGAGAAGGCCCTCTGATTTCTGTATTTCATTGGGTGAGAAGCAGTCAGCTTCACGATGCCCTGTAGATTCGGGATTTATAGGCCCCTGTGTCGGCCTGCAATGACTGTCTGGCATTAGCAATGTCTTTCATAACAATGCAGATTGCATTTTGTCTTGACAAGCAAGTAAATTTGGCCTCAGTTAAAAAAAAAAAAAATAACAATCTTAGCTTTGTGTGGCCAAATTTGCAGCTGCTATGAATCAGCATGGCTCCCCCCTATATCACTGGGGCGCTGCTGATTTGGAGCAGACGAAGATTTGCCCATGGGTGTTTGATGTGAATCGGAAAAATAGTAATGATCCTTGTCATTCGTTTTCCCGTATACTTTGCTGTTTTAGCCCTGCAGTCCCAACCCCACCATCTCCTTGGGCGCTGTGGGGTGAATGCACACGGGTGGTTTGTAGCCAAGTCCTTGCATACGCTGGGTTGTATCTGTGGGCTCAGCCGTGAGCCGCGGGCTGGGTGGGTTTCACGAGAACGAGCCGTACATGCTGGTTTGCTGGGGAGCTGCTCCGAGCGCCACGCCGCGTGGGCTGCTTCTCAGCATTGCCGACGTCTGTTCATTTTAAAACCCGGCAGAGTTGGCCGCTGAATTTTCTTCAGCGTTCATGCTGCAGCCGGAGCTGGGGCTGCCGATCCATCCGGGGTGGGCGGCTGTGGTGAGAGAGAGTCCCTACTCGGAAACCTTGGCTTGAGTGCCATCACAAAACGCCAGCCTCCGCTCACTCCAGCTCGCTGGGCAAGGTGCCGAGGGCCGCTCCTAAGCTCTGCTTGGCACGAGTATTGGTTTGCATGGAGTGGAAGTGAACGGGTGGGGTACGCTTCCCAACGGGCCGCGCACATGCCCTGTGCAGGAAAAGGGAATCTTAGTGCTTTAGCTGGGCGAGGAAGCCCACTCAGTTGCCCCCATCCACCGCCTTCCCATGGGATTACTCTTTCAGCCAATTTAGCTCCTGTGGTCCTCTCCCCCTGCCTTGCAGGGAAAGTCCCGCCATTTACTGCAAATGCTGCAGCGCATCTCGGGCCCTGGATTCAGCTTTTTATAGCCCCCGGGGATTTCATTGCCCTTCCCGACAGGAGGCTGCGTGTTAATGGCATTGCTTTTTTGGTTGCAGGGTCCCCCGCGGAGGAGAGACATGCAGTAGGAGCCCGTGCGTCCCGTCGACGAGTGACGCTGGTTCAGGCCCCGCGGTAGCACACAGCAGGACAAAAGGACTCGGCAGAGGACAGGAAATGCAGAGAATCAGCTGCCTCCTCACAGGATTTGTCTTAATCCTCGGTGTGACCAGCACGGAGCATTTGGCCCGGTCAGGGTAAGCCTCCTCCTTGTCTGTACTGCGGAGGGCTGGCATGTCTCATGCTTTCTCGTCAGGCTCAGGCAGGAGCGTCTGTCTTTGCAAGGTGATAGTCTCAAGGAGATGCAAGAGGCCAAGTTCAGCGAGTCGGTGGAGCGACTTGCAAGGTGCTGGCAGAGAGGCAGGGACGTCTGGCAGATCCTTCTTGCCCCCTTGCAGATCTTGGCAACCTTTTCTGCTGCCTGTTTGCTGTGCCAGTGAAGCAGACGTACAGCTCAAGCCGCTGCGTTTCGCGCAGGGGTACAAAGACGGGTTTCTTTGTCCTTTATCTTGGGGGTCCAAAAGCTAAAAGGCGAGAGCTGATAATGACTTCTTATCACTTCTTTCACGTAAGCACACGCGCACACCCAGTGTTCAGTAGCCCACCAAGATTAGCCTCATTCATCAGAGCAGGGAGAATCCTCCTGTCTCCTTGTGTATGATGGAGCTTCCTGGCCCTAATTCTTCTTTGTCCCGAGCCCCAAGCCCCGCTGTTCGATCAAGGGGAACTGCTGATACTATTTTTCTTCTTGGATGTGTTGGAAGCAACCGCCTCCATCCAAAGATGCCGAAGAACGAAGACGTTCAGATTTGAGCTTTCTGAAGGTGTGCAGCCACCTCTCAGCTCTCTCTGGGGAGAGATGTGTAAAGCCCACCTCTACGGCCAAACTTCCCAGCCCTTGTCGTGCCAGGAGGTCTGGATTTGACCAGCCTAAAAATTCAACTCCAGTTGCCCATCAAGTCGGGGAACGGTTGTATTCGGGCCCCAGCGTTGCGGTTCTGATCTGCCTCTAGTTTGGCTGCAGGGTGAAAGTTATGCAGCCCTTGCTACGCTATGTAATCTTTTGCGTTCTTTTAGTAACGAAGCCCTCAAGGTGAATTATGCACAGACGCACGTGCACGCGCAGTGTGTAAACACAGCTTCAGAAGAACTTCAGCAAAGAAAACTGCAGCTCTTTAAAACAGCGTTTTCCATACCAATAACCCAGCAGGGTAAAATAAATCTTCTGGAGTTAATGGAAAACACCTGATGCCAGTGCTAATTTCCAGTGTGCTGTTTTGGCTGGGAAGCTGAGATGAATAGTCACATTTCTTAACAGAAATGTGAGAGTTAAGATTGCTAGGCTAGACCACATCCAGGTGAACTGAGCCTCTTGCTGTGACAAAATGCAACCCCCCACCCCGCCACCCTGGCCCTAATTTTAAATCAAATACTCTTTAGCTGCAGCATTTTTGTACGGGAACTTCATTTCCTCGGTGCAACATCAACGGAAGGGATTTTCTGCCGCTGATCAGAATCTGGCCCTGGCTATTGATTTTTCAGCATCACTTAAGTACCGTTTCCAGCGATGCAGCAGTCTCAGATGGCAAACGTGCTAAAGACTGCCTGCAAAGCAAATGGTGTTTTGCGTGCCCACCTCGGTCTGGGGGCACGCTTGGCTGTTCTGACTCTCATGAAGACAACCCCCTCTCCCCCCAGCCGATGGGTTCGGGCTCCTGTCTTTAGCTTGGTAACCAAGCTCCTCTATTTTACGGCATGGGACTGTCTTCTCCGCTACCTGTTGGCTGTGCATGCTTGTCCCTGATATGGGAACGAGCACAAACCAAGGATTTCTTTGCTTTAGGGGCTCTGTAGGCAGGATGCTGGAATGAAAACTGCTTTGTGGCACTGAGTGGAGGAGGAAGGGCAGATGTGAATGGGGACATCTTGAGAATAAGTGCTCAAAACTGGCTGCAGCATGTGTGTAGGGGGAGAGGAGGGCAGGGGAGGTCGGCTGTGCAGCTGGCATGCCTTTGCTTGATTTGGGTTAAGTTTTAGAAGCCCTTACAGGCTTGAACAACTGCTCCAGTGAGTGGGGGGCTGAAGGTGCCTCTGCAAATGTTCCCTTAAACGGCCCCACGGAGGTCACGGATTCAGGGCTAGCTCTTCAGAGCTCATGCTCACTCCATTGTAGCTGGGTCCCCAGCTGCTGTAAGTGGGTATCCCTGCTGGGAAGTCACAGGCATCATGCCCATTTACACCCCTTGAACATTAGGCCCCTATAGACTAAACCCAGCCATAGTGTAAGAGGGTGTAAGAAGCCAGACGAACTGCATCTAGAGCGGGCTATGGTTGATCCAGTTGTGCTGCCTGGCCTGCATTGCATCGCCCAGCCCTCCTTGCTTTAGGACGCCTGTTTGCCAGCGGTGTGTGACCTGCCGTCTTGTGTGTCAGCCGCAGGGTGTGCTCCACGGTGACGCAGAGCCAGACGGTTTCATACCTGGAGTCCCATGTCCAGCCGGTCTACCAGCCCTACCTCACCACCTGCCAGGGACACCGCGTGTGCAGCACGTACAGGTGAGGCAGACAGTGCCACGGGTGGGACGCTGCCAGAACACCCTGCCTGTGAGCTGCATTCACCCAGCGCCGCGGCTTCTCCTGGCCTGTGGGGACCTAGCAAAGGGATTGTGCCCTGGGTTTTACAGGGCTGCACAGAGGATGAAGCAAGGAGGAAGGCCAAGACAGCAGGTCAAGGGAAGTGATAATTTCCCTCTATTCAGTACTGATGAGGCCACATCTGTTTGTGGACCCCAACTACAGAAAGGATGTGGACAAATTGGAGAGAGTCCAGCGGAGGGCAATAAAAATGGTTCAAGGGCTGGGGGACAGGACTTGTGATGACAGGTTGAGGGAACTGAGTTTATTTAGTCTGGAGAAGAGAGGACTGCAACCACCCTGCAGGGAGTCGAAGGCTGCTATTAAATCTCCTCTCAACGAGGATGGAGCTGAGCTGTTCTCAGTGGGGGCAGATGACAGGACAAGGAGCAATGGGCTCAAGCTGCAGCAAGGGAAGTTGAGGTTGGATATTAGGAAAAGCTCTCTCAGGAGAAGTGTAGTAAAGCACTGCAACAGGCTACCCAGAGAGGTGGTGCACTCTCCATCCTCGGAGGTTTTTAAGACCCAGATAGACAAAGCCTTGGCTGGGATGCTGTAGTTGGGGCTGGTCCTGCTTGGAGCAGGGGGTTGGACTGGATGTGACCTCCTGAGCTCCCTTCAACCCTCATTGTGTATGAGTCTATGACAGATGTACCTGGATCTTAGGTCTGAGCTTTGCTTTGCCCCTGTGTGAATTAGAGAGGAGTGTGTAGCGGGCTCATCCAGGGGGTTGGGTTCCTGCCCCACATGCAGCGCCCACTGCTAACGCTTTCCCTGACTTACCTTGCAGAACCATATACAAGGTTGCCCACCGCCAGGCATTCAAGAAGTACTCCCAGCCCATGTACACGTGCTGTCCAGGCTGGAGAAGGGCAAGCGGCCATGCAGCCAGCTGCAACACAGGTAAATGCATGGCGGAGCGGGTGGAACAGGCGCTGCAGGGAGGCTCAGGTTCCCTGCATCGCTCTTCGGGGAAGCTCCCCAGCCGGGGCCAGGCCAAGCCTCAGGGGTGCACACTGCAATGAAGACAGGGGCTGCTCTGCTCTACAGGTGCATTTCTCCATGATGTACGCATCCTCTGCAGTTCAGGGGTGACCGCACGAGAGGTTGGATGTCTTCTGCTCTCAGCATCTGCTGCCATGTGGGCACTGATATCCTCTTTAAGGAGCTCAGCAGCACCCAGGATCAGGCCTGGCACATGTCTGCAGAGGCTGCTCTGTCTGTACCCTTATCGACAAGGGCTCTTTTGGAAGCCGGTGTGATTTTGTCTGTACCGAGGCACTTCCTTTTTCTTTTTTGCAAGAGCAAATCCGTTTCATTTAGCGGTTTGGTTATAGCCTTGCCATGCTGTTCAGCATGCCTGCCTTGTGCATCATACCCGGGGGTAAATAAAACTAATGAATCCCTTCAACATAAATCAGCAGCAATGGCAGTGCTCTGCTTTGAGGAGGAAATGGTAGCGTGCGGCACAAAACAAATGCAAAACACACCAGGCGCTCCTCTCTCAGCACACCCAGGCAGACTGCAGCCAGGCCTGGCACCGAGTGAGAGCTGATGATAGTGAAAGCCCCCTCCTCCTCTGCCTCTCCAGCTGAATGTAAAGTCACCTTCCTCTTCCCAGTGCTGTACAAGTGAACAGGACAGGGTGTTGGATGTAGCTGTGTTGGTCTAAGGACATCGGCAGACCAGGCTTTTTGGGTAGATGTGGTCTCTTTTATTAGACCAACTAAATAGCAGGGAAAATGGTTCTTTGCAAGCTTTCGGGCACAAAAATAAAAAGCCAGGATGGGTTGAGCTACAAATGAGAGACTGTTGATTTCCCTTGGCACGTCTCAGTGCAGAAGCCTCCTAGACACTGCCTCGGTGCTGTTAAACCTACCAGCCTAAATCTGTTGCTTCCCTTGAGGCTCAGGACTTGCTAGAAAGCTGTATGAACATTGAGCTGCTAGGAGGCTGAGTCCTGTTGCTGGTTTGCCAGAGGATCTCTGGCCAGCTCGGTCACCGGCCCGTGAGCCTCTTACTTCTGGGCAACGGCAGCCTGCTGCTCACTGAGGGTGGCAGGGATTCACACTCATTGCAAAACATCCTGACTTGCGCGGCACATCCTGGGGCTCTCGTCCGTCTCGCCACATGTTCCACATCTGGATGAGAGCTGTCTGTGAGGGTCACGTGTGTTCACACTGTGCCAGAAACCAGCATAGGAGCATAGACAATAAGGGCTGAAGGGAGCTCAGGAGGTCACATCTAGTCCAACCCCTGCTCACAGCAGGACCAGCCCCAACTACATCATCCCAGCCAAGGCCTTGTCTACCCGGGTCTTAAAAACCTCCAAGGATGGATATGCCACCACCTCTCTAGATAGCCTGTCCCAGTGCTTCACCACCTTTCTACTCAGAAAGGTTTTCCTAACATCCAACCTCAACTTTCCTGGCTGCAGCTTGAGCCCATTGCTCTTTGTTCGGTTATCTGCCATCTGAGAACAGTTCAGCTCCAGGGATGGGTTTGCATTCATGGGCTAGGCTACCATTAGTGGTCATTTGCACCCACTAGGACTTGGCCCACATTTTTGGGTGCCAACAACATGGTCCAAAAGCCTACGGTTGCCTAGGGACATTGCATACCCGGCAGGTGGGGAAAGCTCCCATGTGCGCGTAATAGAAGAGCCCAGAGTGGCTCTGTGTCTGTCCATGCGGCGGGATACCCAGGCAGCCCCCAAGTGATCTTGTAACCCTATATTCTCATTTCACAGCTGTTTGTAGGGCGCCGTGCCAGAATGGCGGGAGATGCTCCTTTCCGGACAGATGCACCTGCCCTCCGGGGTGGACGGGAAGAGCCTGCCAGACAGGTAGGAGCTACAAGCCTCTCGGTTTCCTTCTCTGAGTAGGGGCTGAGGATGGCAGTGTGCAAAAAGCAGGGGTTTCATAGCAGGTGATTGGCAGTAACCATCCATGCACATAGACCTAATGCCCTCCTCTGCCGGTATGAATCAACACAGCTCCAGGTGAACCCATTTACACCAGCTGCCAGTCTGGCCCCAGCTTCATACCTGAATATGAGGGTATTTATATCCTCATATTTATGCTTGCACAGGGATGTATGCTCCTTTCACGCCAGTTGACATCCCTGCTTGCTCCTGATTTACATCAGCATGAGCAGGCAGCAGGCTATAAAAACCGCTGTCAGCGGGACGAGTGTTAGCAGTCCCGTGTCTGTGTGCATGTAGCTGAAAGGCTCGGAGTTAGGCAGGCCTTGCTGTGAGCTTCAGTGTCAGCCTTGGTCCCAGCACAGAGCTTTGAACTGATTTTCCCATTGCCTAAAGCAGCTTCTCTCGGGCGTGGGAAGCAGTTAGTCATTTGCCTTTGTGGGAACAGCTTTAATAACTCCCCCGTGCCAGGAGGGGTTACTGGGTTTTATACACACTCCAAAGGCTGATAGAGCCTCATCGAGGAGGAACCAAAACCCTGAACACAAATCCGGGATCAGAGCTAGTGATCTGAACAGCTTGCTACAGCAGGCCGAGAGCGAGTGCCCCGTCCAGAGCACGGGTCCAGATCTGGACATTTGTTTGCTTGGAGTCTGTGCTTCTGCCCTTGTGTGATGCCTCTGGACCTGATTCATCCCTGTTGTTAATCCGGTTTCACCTGGGGTAGGGTCAGCAGAGTGAAAGTGGAGTAATGCAGCGGTTTGCTATGGCTGTGAAGTTTGGATCCTCCAGTGGGCTGGAGGGGAGCAAAAGTTGGCTGCACTGAGGATGAGGAAGGAGAGTGCTTGTGAGCTGCTGGGTGTGGACTAATGCCATGGATCTCTGGTTTCATAGCTCAGGGCAGCCTGTGCTGCATAGTGTCATCACGGATGGTCTCCCCAAACTGTGACCTGGGGTGAGCAGTCACAGAAGGGGCTGCTGACCGCATACCACAGCTCTAAGCTTTCAGTGGGGACCTGTCCATAACCCTCCCACGGGCGATGGTGCACGCCAGGGGCTTGTGAGCTAAAAGGGCACAGATCTGCAGTGCTCTGTAAATGCATGTCTCATGAAGGGTCCTGCTGGGATAAACCCCCCTGACCTCTCTGAACTCCCACCTCTGCCTGCAGACATGGACGAGTGCTCCGGCCAGGGTCACGGCTGCGGCCAGCGCTGCGTGAACACGCCTGGGAGTTACCGCTGCGCCTGTCACGAGGGGCATCGGCTCTCTGCAGATGGGAAATCATGCCGGGCTCTGCAGCCAGCTTCAAGGACAGAGGTGTCTGCGCCTCCAGCCCTCAACCGATCCGGTAATGTGCATACAGCCAGATTTGGTTGAATGTTAAACCAGAGTGCATGAGAGGCAGTGCGTCCTGTAGGAATGAGAGAGGGGATCGAGAAGCCGGGATTCCTGGGCTCTACTTGCAAATTGTGCTTTGGGCCACAATGCAGCCTGTCTCAAGTTCCCCAGCGATACAGTGAAGATGCTGCCTCTTTGCATGCCTCAGCTGCCTGCCGAGCCCATGCTCCAGCTGGTGGACATCGCAGGAGCTGAAGCAGCCGTTGCCTTGCCAGGCCACAGACCTGCCACCCAGAATGACTTCTCTCTCCACCACCCAGAATGACTTCTCTCTCCACGCTCCCTGCAGGCCAAAGCTGGAGGCACAAGGCGCGGCAGGCGATGCTGGTGACGGCCCATTATTACTTTTGGTACGCGCTGTGACACTTCAAACTCGTACCGTGAGTAATAATGCGCTGCGGCCAGCACCAGCGACGGACACAGAAGTGGGACGAGCAGAAGGGGCACACGTGTATGCGTGTGTGCATGTGCATGCATGTGTGAGTGTGCTCCTCCTCACGCTTTCCTGTCTCTGGAGGTGCAGGAAGGTGAAGGGGCCATCTGTGAGAGGTCTTTCCTGCTGCTCTGCATCCCTGCAGCTGCACGCTCCTGCAGTGCCCAGCAGTAGCCGTGCAGTGGGTGGGGTGTCAGGGTTTCCCACAGTGTCCATCGGGCAGAGGATTGAACAGGACGAAGCCCCATCAGAGAACAACACAACGCCCTTTCAAAGAGCGCCAGCATCCTGACCAAGCACTTCGCAGCCTTGAGTGGCCGGTGTTCATGCTGGGTTGGTTTTGGCTATCAGTCAGTACAGCCCCATTGAAGGCAGTGATGCTACGTGGTGCTATGTTGTACCAGCTGGAGTTTCCTCTCGTTGGCTTGCTACCAGGCTAAGGGATGTCAGGACACAGTCCCAGCCCCAGGCAGCAGCCGGTGGGTGGTTGGAGGGACTGGGCTTTGCTGAGGCAAAATGAGTGCACCAGCACAAGGACCTCATGCCCTGAGCTGTCCCTGCGTAAGGGACAGCCTGCTGCTCGGCATACCTTGGCAGGCAACGCCGGAGTCATCTGCTCCCACACAGGCGCTGCCCGAGTGCACGCCCCAAGCTGCACCGTTGTAAAACCCTGCCAAGGCCAAGACATGAATCATTCCCCAGCAAGCCCACACGTCCCACAGCCCCTGCCAGGGGACAGCTCTCTGGCATCTGAGCAGCTCGTAGGAAAAGCAAGCTTGCTGCATCTTGGGCTGACGGCATACCGTCACTGGTTTCCACGCAAGGTTAATTAATTAAAAAAGGCCGGGTCCAAATTAGCAGCCTTTATGATAGCGCTAAACATTCATCTTTTTTCCACTGAGAGCAATGGCAATTTCCATCCCCCCTCCACACTGCTATATCAGTGCACTTGGCCTTCACCACTGCCTATAGTTTTCTACATGAACTAGTCCGCACCCAAAGACAAAAGGCTGCTTGTATTGGTAAGTGGCTGCTGCGGGCCAGTGCCAGAGAGCTGGTTTCTTGGCCAGATGTCAGCATTGTTAAGATGCCTCTTGCTATAGGAGCATGGCAAAGACTGGGCACTGCTGCTTGGCCCGTCTGGGTCGGGCGCGATGATGTGCTGGGATAGCTTTATGGGCACTGACAGCTGATTGACACCAGTTAGGGGCTGGCCTGCCATGTGCTCAGGTCCAGCTGTTCTCGCAGAGCTGCCAGCCGTGCCCAAATCCACTCTGGACCTCGGTGGCCGGCGTCGGCAGTGCCCGACACGCAGAAGAGAGCCGTGTCTACCACGCCTCGGCAAGCGTCCTAAAGCAGACATCCCAGCCCCTGGCCCAGGAAACCTACACCGCAGATGCCTACGGCGGCAGGCTGCCAAAGCGAGGGCGGGTTAATGAGCGTGCCCAGCAGCGAGGGACAGTGAATGGCAGCGAAGAGCCGTGGCCGGGTGCTCTTCAACAGAACAGGGCTTTCCCTTCATTGAGTGACTGCTGCATCCACCTTTTAGCTGCTTGGAGATGCTTGTTCTTTATGGAGTGGGGAGGACAGCAATGCATGGCTGCAGGTGGGATGCTGCCATTGTGCCGCCTTGTCAGGCCTGGGGCTGGCGAGGGGCTGGCAAGGTGCCCGCTGCCCTCTGGCACATTCCTTTCCTCAGCCAACGCGTCAGGGCTTGGCAGCCCCCACGGCAGAGAACAGGCCTCCCATTCTCCCCCATGCAACCAGGCCTCCGTGTTAACCCTTCCTCAGCGCCTGTCCTATGCTAAGTATGATCATCACAGGCTGATTCGAGTGCACAAGGGATTGCTTTATTTTCTCCCTGACTGGCGCTTTGCTTTGCACTGCTTCCTTACAGGAGGTGCCTCCGGCGAAGTGAAGGAAGAAATGAAAGCCTTGAGGAGCAGGATGGACGTGCTGGAGCAGGTGAGCACGGCTGAGGCAGGGCAGGGATGCAGTTACCCCTTTAGCATCCCCTGGCCAGCCTGACCCAGCCGCCCCTGCAAGTCCAAATTAAGCTGGAGTCCACATGTGGATCTCAGGGCTGCTCCCTTCTCTTTTTTTTGATTTCTCTGCTTAATGTCCTCGCTCTCGCCTTGCGCCTGGAGCTGACAGCACATGGGTGGTGGAGAGCAAAGGGCCAGCTCCCCCCCATCAAAAGCCCAGTGAGGTGCCCACACACATCCCCCTCTGCGAGCCTGCTGGCCTCGGGAGGACGGAGGGGCTGGGTGGGCTGCACGCTGGCTCTCCTTGGGTGGTCTGCGTGCAACGGAGAAGGACAAAAACTGAGCAGCTCCTTTCCTCTCTCTAAAGAAACTGCAGTTAGTGTTGGCTCCCTTCCATCACTTCGTGCCAGCTGGGCTGGATGACGTCAGCCCGGACCCCATCACCGTCCTGTCCCACTCCCTGCAGCAGCTGGACAGGATAGACTCCCTGAGCGAGCAGATCTCTTTCCTGGAGGAGCGCCTCGAGACATGTGAGTGGAAAGAACAGTGTCGAGGCGAGGCTTTCCCTAACCCAGCGTGGCCAGGGATTGCCGTTGCAGGCTATTGCTAACTGCTGTACTCTAGCCCTTTTGCTCTAGGAACGGGCATGTGCCTTCCTAGGCTGTTTTTAAGCTCCAGTTGCATCCCCGAGTAGGGCAGGACGAGGTGCTATCAGTGACCCTGCAGGGTTTTGTGCAGCATGGGAAAGCGGGGTGGGAAAGGCAGGCCGGGTCACTGCAAACAGCGCTGCCGGCTCTGCGAGCTCGCTGCACGCTGCTCCCATTAGCCCTTCCATCACGCTTGCGTGGCGGAGGGTCAGTGACCTGCTGATTGCTGTGTGGGGGCTTTATTACTCTTTCAAAATGGCCGTTTAAGGCACAACGAGCGGGTAATTTCTGCTCTGCAAGGGTGGAGCAGAGCAGAAAGGCCGATTTAACTGAGGAAATGCAGATCAGTGGCATAGACATCAACTTTTAGCTCCAAACCATCGGCCTAGACGTAACAAAGGATGCTGTTTGTGTGGGTGCACAGTCTAATCTGCCTTGTAATCTTCCAAAAAGCATCTGTGGGCAGCAAGGACTGACCCAGACCACCTCAAGACGTGGCAGTGGAGGGCAGCGGAGGGCACATGGGCTTCTTTGAGACAAGTGCTCAGTCCTGGTCAGGTAGTCATGAATTTTGCATGGGACACTTACAGGCTAAAGAGCAGAACTACCCTTCGTTATCAAGCTCCCTTTTGCTACTGCATCGTCTTGCATAGGCATTCGCAATGGGGTTGTGAATAGTCTACCCTACAAGGGACCACAACCCAGATCCTTAGGTACCAAAGAGCCGCTTTGCAGATCAGACTACAGCATCTAGATCTGCCCAGCCTGCCTCTTCCAGGCCCTTGCTGTTCTCCTCCGGGCTGCTTCGTGTCTGAGAAAGTCATAAGCACAGCTGGATAGACACGTGGTTGTCTGTGCCCCTGGGAATGCTTTTTCTCCTGCAGTCCAGTGGTTGTGGGGTCTGGTGCCTTTCTGTAAGGCCACTTTATCCAGTTAGCTAATGGGGAGCTAATGTCAAACGTGATGGATGGACAGGACCTGAATGTTGCAGCTGAACATCCAGAGTTCGCCCTTCTCTTTGAAGGTGAATGATCAAGGTCCCTTCTGCGCCGTGTCATCTTGGCCCTGTGACTGTCGCAGTCGTGGTTGTCCACGTGGCCAGGGGGACGTCCAGCACAGGGAGCTTGCTTCTGGGAAGCCTGTCCCCAGGGAGTGCACAGGCCAGGCTGTGCTCCCGGGTTTATTTCTGTTATTATAGCTAATGTCTGTCTCATGCGAAACGCATACGCCATCCTGGGAAGAGGATGCACAGCCAAAACTCCCTCCTCCCCTGCGACTGCCCTTGCCTCTTGCATTTTCAAGCCAAGCCCCAGTTGAAAGCTCTCCTTCTCGTCCTTGTGGCTGACCGGGTCTGCAGCAAGAGTCACAGAGCCAAGACGGGAGCAAGCGAGGGGGAGAGGCACTCCATGGCCCACTGTGGGGGCTGTTTTTCTAGGAGATGGGCTCCCAAGGACAGCTTCAAATGCATCTGAAGCCAGAGCCCACGTGCTGGAGGAAATGTCATAGCAGAACAGACCCCAGCATGCGTTTGGGCCTGTTGTTTTAAATACACAGCTTTATCAGCAGCACGGCGCCGGTGTGGGAGCAAGAGCACCAGGTAGCGTGGAGCACTTCCAAGTTACAGCTCCAAAGTCCATGCATGCAGCTAGAGCTCGGGCCACACCGCTCCGGCACGCTTTCCCTTTCCAAAGGCAAGTGTTGACAAATGGAAAGTAGATTAAACCCAGCTCTCTGCATTAGGGCAGAGCTAACGATGAGGCCCAACACCACCCTGAGCAGGGCATGGAGAGAGAAAGAGGAGCATCGCTGCTGGCCTCAGCACAACCCCATATGCCTTCTTTTTTTTTTTTTTTTGATTTTAGGGTTTTCCCAGGCTGTTTTGCTTGGCGAGTGCGGTTCGGACTGCGTAGGCAACCACGTGCCCCCTGCTCCCCAGGGCAGGCTTGGGCGAGTAGCTGCTAGGGTTAGTGTGCCTTGCTGTAACAAGGAGACTCTCTTGTTGTAGCTGGGAGGCAAAACAGCACTAAAAGAGAGACTGATTATTTTTTGAGCTGCTCCATCTGCAGCTAAATTGAATCCCTTTGAGAGGGGCGGGTAACAACAGGTGGAGTTTTAGCTGTAAGCTGCGGGCTGCCTTGTGAGTGAATGACTCCAAAACGATTAGTTCAAACCAGGCTTTTGCCTCTGAAGTCCCGTCGCTTTGATTTGGGCTCGAGCGCCTCCCGCTCGTCGCTGTCGAACAGCATTGCGTCTCGTTAGCAAGACGAGCGATGGCTCACGTCTGCACAGCGTTTGCATTTTCCATTTGGCTTCTGTGCAGACGCCCCCCTCCGAAGCGCTGCCACTGCCACAAAGCCGCTCCTCCTGACTCGCCTTCACGACCATGAAAAGCGAGCGCTGTTCAGGCTGGCCGTGGCTGCTTTCGGCTCCGAACCGGCTGGCTATGACATAGACCTCGGAGGAATCTCCAACCCTCGCAGCCCGGCAATGGCTGCTTTCAGTTCCTAGCTGCTTGGCTATTACGTAGACCTCGAAGGAATCCACAACCCGCCGGCAAGGCCGAGCGAGATAGAAAGCACTCTGTCAGCTCGGCGGCTCGCGGCGACCTGGCTTGCTATGCAAGGGGCAAAGGTTTGGTGACGCACTGAAAAAATGGAGATAGTGAGGACAAGAGCAGCAGTTTTGGACTGATGTCAGGTCTCTTGAAAGAGAGGGGGGAAAAAAAATAATCCCAGTTGCTCTAAGGCAGCTAGACTCAGCCGGGCCATTGCAATGAGGCCCAAACCGGATCACTAGCGTGGCTTTGAATCGCACTCGCTCACTGGGTATCATCACCCGCCCGCAAGCCAGAGCATGTAGGAACAGAGAGGGTCACTGACTGCCTTCCTATTGCTACCTACCCCCGGCTCTTGCCCTAGCAGAGTCAAGGTCTGCCCTTGTTTGCAGAAAGCAAACCGCGGACGTGTCCCGCAGGGTAGTCTCTGGTTCACACAGCCGGTTTGCACCATCCCCGAGCTATCGCATTAGCATCAGTGAACTGGCGGTGAAGACCTTGTTGGCACACAGCGATGACGCTAGCTTCGCTACGCTGCTGCAGCCGCAGCAGGAGCATGGTCAGTTAGACCCATTTCTCAACCAGCGGGACTTTACAATTATAGCAATAAAACTTATTCTCGACAAAATTATTGCCCTTTTTAATTTTTCATGTCCTTAAAAACCTCCCTTAATGATTCATATAATACTAAAATGCATGTAAACTTCAAAATACACTTCTTGGAAAAGCGGGGTTTTGTTTTTATCATGGTGGGACCAGGGTTTTTTGACAAAATGGTTGGTGCGATGTAAGGTGCCAAAGGTTGAGAGACGCTGAATTAGACCCAGATGCACGCGCTTAAAAAGCAAGGACGTGGTGTCCTATTTCTTTTTGTGCATAAGCTAGCCCAGGATGAAGTACCGCTGCCAGACAATGGGTAGGAGCAGCATAAACTGCTCCAGGAGAGTTGGCAGGGAGCAGCGACAAGGGGGTGGCGTGGGAGCCAGGACTCCTGCCTTTTATTCCTCGTGCTCTGGGTGCCCCAGTCATATGAGCATGTCAGGCTGCTTTCAGCCAGCCAGATCCCCTCCTAATGCCAGTTCTGGATTTATCCATTTTCAGGTTCATGCAAAAACGAACTTTAGCATGTACCCACTATGTCCCGAAAGCAGCAGCAGAGCAACTGGGTCAACCTGCCCTGGCCGAAGCCAGACCACAGCTGAAGAAGCCACGGTGCCTGCAGGACAACATGGGATGACAGGATAAGAATTTGTTCTCGATGTGGCTGTGCCTGCTTCCTCTTCCTCTTCCTCAGCCTGCTGGCCCCGGGGCAGCTACGTCCTAGTTAGCCAAGTCTCCTTCCAAAGATCATGCCTTCCCCCATGCTCGTAGTGACCCCTTTCCTGCACGGACTGGCTCAGTCCATCCTTATACAAGAGAAATGCTGCAAGCAAAACTCCATGGTGCTTATTTTTTTTGCTTGTAGTTAGCCCTAGATGAAGTCTCAGGATACATGTATTCATGGCGAGGTACAGCTACGCGACTGCACGAGCCGTGCTAACCGCAGCCTGCTTCCAGCTACTTCTTTCATGCTTTGTATTGCTAGAGCCTCTCATGCCATGCCGCGCCGCTCGATGGAGGGAGCACAGCTCCCTCCGTCTTACTTACCTCACTTCGCCATTAGACTAGGGCATAGTGCATGGGAGTCCAGATCCAGCCTTTCTATATCGACTGACAACTCCGGTAATTCCCTTTGCCCTCCAAAGTGCTTCAAGGCCCTCAACCAAAACCGGCTGCTGGCAGGACAGCCAAGTGCAATGTTAGAAGAGTGCAGGGAAAACGGCGGTTAAGAAACCCCAGCCATGCAAGGAGTACCAGGAATAGGGGAAAGTTGCATCTCTCCAGTTTCTGATGCTCCGAGAGATGGGAGCTCTCTCCCCTTGGCTTTCCTCTCTGCAACAAGCTTCTCTTCTGTCCAGCGAGGGCAATACAGTAGCTGCCATCATCTGCTTGTCACCTGAAGAGATGCTGCTCTTGAAAGGCTTTGAAGCATTTCATTTCTTTCTACTGTAGGCACTTTGGAGGGGGAAAGGGAAAAAAAAAAACCCCATCCCTTTCTGTAAGTCTGACACTGAACACGTTTAATCTCCATCCCGCCATTCCAGGTGCCCGGTTCATGAGCCAACATGTTTCCCCTCTTCAGGTGCTCCAAGGGTTGGGAAGAGGGTAGGTACAACATAATCCTGCGTCTTGCGAACTGGCTTCATACCACATTACACGGGGAGACTTGGCAAGTTGGCTTGTTTACTGAAGGTAACCGGCCCCTTCACACAGGTGCCTCCATCCCTGCCCAGAATGAAAAGCCGGCACAATGGCTGTATTGTAATGCTGTATGAATAGAGGCGTTACCAGACAGCTCAGGGGGAAAGCCTGGATAGCGCGTGCCTACCTCTCCCCACGCTGTCGTGAGTGAGGTAGCCACGCTGGCTAGAAAACACGGCACATGGTACAGTATTTTCCCACCGACGCAGCAATGGAAGATGAAAACTGTAAGGTATTCGCCCACCATAGAATAGGGAGAAGGGTTTTTATTAAAAAAATAAAGTCATATACTGTAAAGGGAAAAAAAAAAAAAAAAAAAAAAAAATCACTGGCTGGACTCGTCTTTTGGTGCAACTCAGAGTGACTTTAGCAGCTGGAGCAGATGCCCGAAGGTTGGGGCAGGTGCTCAGATGGACAAACCCCCCGCCCAGGTCTTGTTTCAGCCAGTGCTGTTGGCTCCTGTGAATGGAAATAGTGATGTGAGCTACCTCACCAGGGCTGCAGATGCAGAAAAAGCACACGTACGGCCGAGCCCAGAGGAAGCCTGCTGGGGTAGAGGCTTGCAGTTTCCTTTGGCTTCTTGCCCCAGCATGGGGCACTTTGCCCGTGTCCTTCTCCCTGTGTGTGTATGCAACCAAGGCACGAGGCCTAAAGTGCCCACCCTCCGTGACTGCAGAAGCGTATCCCTAGTACACCTTGAGAGGGTTTGCAGTGGCCTGTGTCCTCTCCCTGCCTGGCTGCAGGGGATAGCAGGGTGCAGGAGGAGAACGGGGTGAATAGGACCTCTCCTCTTGCCGCACGAGCCCGCCCGGTGCTAGGAGCCCTGGAGTCACAAAACACAGCCATGCTTGAGTGCCACCTTTCCTCATCCAGCTGAGGACCGTCAGTGTAACAGAGACTAATTAGGGTGGTCTGCATACAGTCATGACATCGAGGCAGGTGTCATGCCAAAAAACATGCGAGTTGCCTGCAATGCAACTTCAGAATACTGCTAGGCTGGGACGAGCTACAAAAAATCAGGATGGCTTAGCCACGAGCAAAAGCACTGCAGGACACACAGCCGGTTCCTCAGCACGGTACAGACATGGGGTTATTCTGCCTCATTTAGCCACCATTGCCCTTCCCGCACGAGCCCAACATGAGATGCTCCAGCCCCATGAAGACAGGAGGCGCGATTGAAATAACTGCTTTTATAAAAAGTAGATGCATTCCTTCCATACATTATGTTCAGTACAGAGCAGCAGGCAACTCCCTTACTGCACAGAGGCACTTTTCCATTCTCCATAGGCAAATACAAGAGCAATACTTGCAAGATCGTTCTCTTCAGCAAAGTCAGACGCCCACTCCCCAGCTTTTCCTCGACGGGAGCCTGGGGCCAGAAGCCTAGGACAGCTCCAGGGTGGTTTGCCTCCATTATGCAGCCACTTGTCTGCTCTTCTTACACACACAAAAAGAAAGTGCTGGTTTGATTTCAATTCAGATCCCCTTCCAGATGCACCCCACAGATGGATGGCCTCAGATGGGCACCTCTGTGTTGGCTTGTAAACTCAAATTCAACTGAGGGTCCTCTTGTTTGGTTACTTCCAGTTGTAGTTTAGTGTTTGAGCCCTGGACTGGGCATCCTTGGCAGCCAAGCAGAACCACCTCAGCTGCTGAGATCTCCGTCTCCACCTCTGCCCCTTGGACAGGAGGTTAGGCGCACCTTGACTCCATCTTTACAAGGCAGAGGCAACACTCGCAGATCTGCATTTAAGGCTTCTGAGTCCATCAAATCCCTGGGATTTTTATTTTTTTATGCCCAGAAAGTGGCAGCAAAAGGCTATCCTCCACGCAACCCGTTTGGCCTGTTCAGTGTGCACGTCCCACACCAGTTTACATTGCTTTTACAACCACCTCGGCTAGTGGTAGCAAGGCTAAATGTTCTCAGACAAGCTGGAACAAGCCTTGTGCTTTGGTCAACGCTGCAATTCAAGGGGTTAGATCAACATTGCATAGCCCTTAAGGTCAATAAGCAACAGGTATTTTAGGACACACCCAATTAAACACATGACAAAAATGTCAACCTACAACACAACTGATACCAAGGGACTGTCCCGAGCAATCTGCACCTCCCTAGTATCCCACTGGGTCTCATACTATGCCATGAGCAAGGCACGTGGTAAGGAATGAGATCATACAGGGGTCAGAGATGCTAGTGGCAATTCCAGAGCGTGGAGACATCACGTTAAGGTCTCGTGGATGTGTATCAGCCTGTTATTTTAGTACTTGGGCCTTACTGCTGCAGAACAGGTCCTGTATTTACAAAAAAAAATGACATACCCATGGGGAGCTGCCTTCTGGCAAGACACCAGAGAGGCTTCATCCAAACACAAGACATACCAGATGTGTGTTGGACGTGACCTCTTCACATCCACCCCATCCCTCAAAAAAAGTCCTAAAAAACCAAAACTTGTCCCTCTTGGATGTGGAAGCTCGATTTCTAGAAGAGACATCAGGGTAGCCAATGCCACAAATTCCACCCATCCTTGTCCAGCTTCACCTATGGCAAGTTCTGCATTTAAAGAAGTTAACTTCCCCTGCAAGAAGGCCAGAACGGTTAGTGGAGATCTTAGGTACAAGATCCTCTGCTTTGCTTCCCGGTTCTGCTCTGGGGTAGATGGGGGGGGGGGGGAAAATAAGAGCTGCATGTATCCTCCTTAAATCATGCCTCAAAGAGCATCATCCATACTTCTATCCTGTGGGAAGTCACTGGCTCTGGTCATTCATCCTCCTACCAGGACAGAAGAACAGCTCGCCAATGGTTTTTACAGATGCCGTAGGCTTCTCTAAGAGCGCTAGTGTTGCTATACTGTACCGGGACAGCCCTCTAGTGGAAACACCGCACAGGATAGCAGGACTCCCAAATGTTAACATGGCCTTCCTAAACATCTGGTGATCTCACATACACAGCTTTCAGACCCGCGTGTCCATACCAGGGGTTTGCTAGCACAGCCGTACAGGCCGGCGGGGCGAGGTTCTTTTCCACCTCCCGGCCAGAGCAGCTCTTTAGTGCAAGCCTGCCCTACTTGTGCCTTTTGCAATTGGTAAGACGCTGCAAAGAATGGAGCTGCCATCAGGACCTGGTGCTGGGCAGGCACCTTCAGAAAAAAACAGCTGCCCACTGTGAGCAAGAGACTTGCCTGGGATCAGTGCCACCACCTCGTGCCAAGATCCAGAGCATGGGTACCAGAAGCTGGCAGCATGAGGACGACTGCTGCATTAATCCTGTACGTGCCCATTGCAACGGGGAACGTCAAGCTGGGCAGTGAGCTCTTGGAGGTGCATACTCCAACATCCCCTGGACTGGCTGGCTTACAAAACACCAACCTGGCCAGAGGTAATACCCAAGCCTCCACTAGTGGTCATGAAGTCACTGCATTGGGCACAGAGCCTCTCATTAGTTTGAGCTGGGTGTAGGAGAAACTCAAAATGCAGGAGACATTTCAACAGGAATCAAGGACCCCACAAGAGAGATTTGATACACAACAGAATTGCGGAGCCGGCCCGGCATGCCGCTTGCCAACCTACGTTACTCGCAGCAGAGTCAGAACGGGCTCCAAGCTGGCTGCACAGAAAGAAAAACCCCTTGGATATCTTTGGCAGTGGAAAGAGTCCTCTCAGTTCCCGACATACGGCAAAGTTACTGCAAATGGGTCCGGGCAGGGCCATTTGGTTCATTCACTAAACCCGACAGTCTGAAAAAGGTCTCCCTCATGGTGGAGTAGCATCTGTTGGTAAGCTCAGTGACATCTTCTGGGGTCAGACCCTTGGTCTCAATGGGCTCGAGAACCTCGACCCGGATTTTACCTGGGAATAAGAGGAAAGGACCGTCAGTTTTGGGGCATGTTGAAAGTGTCCTCCAGGGCATCGGCTATTCCCACCTCCGGCACCCCATGGCAGAGTGCAGCAACGCTTCCACATGCCAGTTACCAGCATCCTTTGAAGATGCAAGGCTGTATCACAGAGGATAGCTCGCTCCAGTCTCTGTAGTAAGGGAGTGCATGAGAAGCACTGTGTTTCAGAAGGCACCCACCACCCTCAAGCTGCATGCGGTGGGCTAGCTCAAGGTTACTTGCCATTTCTTCCTGTTCCCATCAAGCCAGGGGCCCAATTCATAGACATCATACACATGACAAATGCCTACAGAGAATCATAGCAGCACAGGACACTCTTCCAGGCTGAGGGGCAGATATTAGGCAGAAGAAATCCCCCCTGTTGAACTTGGGCAGGACATTTTGTCCTTCTCAAAATGACTATGCAACACTTGAGGCAGCAGCTAATGGGTAATCCTGAGCTCTGAGGTTTTTGCTCCACATAGGGCATTGCCTTAGCATCAGCTGTGATGGTTTTTACGCCAGGAAATGTCTGTCTTCCTGACAGGGTGGAAGGTGTGAGCAGATAAAGCCGAGGCAGACTGAACTAGGCACTTGCACATCTTTGTTTCCACTTTCCACTTCCTGCAGCGGTACACTGTCCTGCACAGCAGCTGGCAAACCCTGCGCTCCTGGTCCCCACCCCTCGTTCTGCTGTGGCTTTCGGCGCAACATTGCTTCCACCCCACGGTTTCAAGCCAGGATGCAGGACACTGGTTTGCCTTGGACAATATGGACCTCAAACTCCACCCTTCCCTGCTGTTTTTACATGTTCCTAATGAGGTTTCTCCCGATATCCTAAGCTAGGACCTAGCTCAGAGGTGCCCAGAAAGACAGCCCCTCCCAGGGCTTTTTGCCATGCACGACAGATCTAGGAGAGAGGAGGAGCTAGTGCCAGCCAGAATGGATTGCTGCTGCAAACCCATCACGAACAAGCCACACGCTCTAGTCTCCTGAGTGGCCCAAAGGTGCTAGTCCCCCCTCGCATACCAGGCTTGTGTCCCCAAGCCATGTACAAGGGATAAGAGAGCAGGTGTCTTTGCTCCCAGATACAAGGGCCCTCAGGAGGTCCTGAGAAGAGAGCTAGCTCCTTTGAAACCAATAACTCCAGCCTCACCTAGCAGTGTGTTCATCTGGCAGAACAAGTCCTTCAAGCGCTTTGCTTTGCAGGCCCAGGGACATGCCTCTGCCCTTGCAGCAGCTTCTTGGCTGACCAAAGAGTGACTTGCAATCTGTGCATCAAGGAAGCAGGTGGCAACACAAGTTGTGTCTGATAATTACAGCTCCTGCTGGGCTTTCTGATGCGGTCTGGAGTTCTGTTCCCCTTCTCATCTTTTACTGCCCGGGCAACCAAGTGACCTAGACCAAGCCTCAGCCCTGAACTCCCTTCTCCCTTGCAGGGGTTTTGACCGCTCCAGGCATCTCCCTTGGGCCCCAGTAGCTCTACACTCTCCCAGAAAAGATCCACCACTGTAACCAAGCTCAATGGTTCCTGGCCATCAGAGACATTCATATGCAAAGAGGTGCCTCCGCTTGGCATGGCGCAGCCCAAGAGTGCGGTGCATGGACCCTGGGGTCTCTAGTATTGAGCCTTACTTCCTCTTGCCCAGGTGTCACTCTGCTCATCAGGAACAGACAGCTGCAGTTTGAATGAGGGAGACTGGCAGCCAGATACAGCCTTTCAGGGGCCGCCTGAAATAGCCAAACTCCACCGCAGGTGCAGTGAAGCTTGCACGTGCCAGCTATCACCATCACTTTAAGTTGGTTTGGAAAGACACTAGCAGGAGGGTCATGTTGGAAGGACACCCCTTGAGATGAAAGGCAAGCCCACGTATTTCTGTATTCAGCTCAACTTGTCTTCTGCCACACGACGAGAAACTGAGTGCACCCAGGAGGACTTACCTGGGTGCAGCTAGAAAGTCAACCCCCTCCAACCAGGTCAAGTGCATTCAGGAGGTGGGGAAGAGACTCCAGCAGCACCGTACCTGATGTGAACAGGTTCTTCTTCCGGTCGTAGAACGAGGAGAAGGAGGAGTACACCACGGGAATGACTGGGACCTGGGGATGAAGGGACCACAGAGAAGATTGCAGCAACATCCTGAAGCACCAGACACCGGGGCCCAAGTGCATCAGGTCACCCATAGATACGTACACTGGGGAGTCCTAATGAGGGAAGTTTTACCTTCCTCTCGGATGGGTGAACTGGAGCAGCAAGGCAAAAGCGTCTTGCCTGAAGTCAACAAAAAGGAACTGACCCGGTCTCAAGCCACCAGCTGGACCACAAAGCTAGTCTTTTCCCCTATCCAAGGAAGTCTGAACCTCCAGTTTGCCCCAGACATGCTTATTCCTCAACTTCCTGGTCCTGATAAAAAGCCCTGATGTGCATTACAACCGGCTGCAAGCACATGCAAGGGGGCAGCCCAGCTGCTGCTTAGACCCTTATGACCAGGAATCACTGTCTGCACTCATCTCCCCTTGACAGGTGGAAGAGAGGTGGCTATTTTTTACCTCTGACACAACATGGAAGAGATCTATTGGTCACAGCCTTGCTGGGAACGTGAGCAAAGCCGGCCACTGCTTAAGCTGTTCCTCTTATCCCCGTCCCGGGAATTCCATCTACTGGGACCAGTTATGACCCCCTGACTGGTCGGTGGGTATTCAGCCTCCATCAGCTCATTAGAGGATGGGCTACATGCTGCAATTCATCTATTCACGTGTGCATGCACAGGTCTGCTTGCTGCAGACCACCAGCCCCTTCCTGTCCTTAAGGGAAGAGGCCATTTAAAAGCAGACACCGTTCTTGATATTAGGCACCCCGAGATGACGCTCGGTTCAAGCGCTCGCTCCCGACGTATCCAGTTAGACAATGCCATCTAGAGGCAACATGCAGACCTCCTTCCCTGGTATGCTGTGTTGCCTCCCACATCCTTGCAAGGTCTGTTGGGTCACTAGTTGCAAGGTCACTGGTTGGGGATTCACAGGGGTAGAGGCAGCTGCGTAATTCTCATAGCTCACTGCATGCCCACCCAAGTGCCCCAAATCCATTTCTGTGAAAGCTTTGGGTATCCCCAGTTTTGCAGGCCCCACTGCCAGAGACTGATCACTGCCTCTCGGGAGCTCAGGCATGAGATACCACCGCAGTCCAGCAGCGCGGGCACAGAAGCCTTCACAGAAAACAGGATCACCGAGATGCAGCACACTTCCAACAGGGGAAAGTAGCCCTCTGCCGATAGCATTTGGTCACCAGAACCTCACTTTGGACAGCCAGGCCTGCTCGGCGTTGCAGTCCGAGGGAGAAGCTGGCCATCGTTACCTGTGCCTGTATGGCGAGATGAAAGGCTCCCTTCTTGAATGGCAACAGGTCACCGTTCCCATTCCTCGTGCCCTCTGGGTAGATCCATACCATCACCTGTATGAAGACAGGCCATCACTTCCATGTGCTGAGCACTTCACATGTTGCTGTATCAATAACCCAAGAGCATCTCAAGAACTGTAGGTCTGGACAGACAACACGTACAACTATACAGCAGTAGCAGACACCGGACACAAGCTCCTCAGCTGGAGTACTTTTACCCCAAGTCACCACTGAAAGGATCAGGGATGAAATGCCACGACGTAAATGACCCTAGTATGTTTAATCTCTCTTTGCCCAGTCCAAGTTAGCTGGCTGCTGAACATGAACACACCATTAACTGCTCACCTCAATGACTGGCTAAGCACAACAGTAACTGCCTGCTGTGCACAGCTCCGTGCCTGTCCATTCGTAGTACCTGCACAATAGACACTGCTACACATACCTGATGTAAAGTGCACCAGGCTAAGTGCTCACCTGTCCACTCATGACAGAGATCTGATTAGATGCCTTTATTTCTTGGAACTGGATTTTCCTATGGCATTCAAATTAACCAAGCGCGGACAATAAAAGGACTAAGTCCACACTACCCGAGAGCTAGATAACCGACCACAGTTGGCCCCATCTCGTCTCCCTCCCTCATGCTTCATGTTGACTTCCCCCCTGCACCGCTCTCTCGAGTGCGCAACTTTTGATCTCTTCTGCATCCGGCAAACTCAGAGGTTTGGGGAAGAGGAGCTGGCAGACATGGCCAGTAACTTGTACTGCACTCACGTTCTCGGACAGCATGGTCTTGGCAACATCCGCCATCACCATCTTGGCATTGCTCGTGCTCTTCCTGTTGATGAAGATGACACCGCCCAGGTACATGACTAGTCCCACGCTGCCCGTGTACAAAAGCTCCTTCTTGGCAATCTGAACACAGCGATCTGGAAGGATTTCCATCAAGCCTAGCCCCAGGGGCAAAGAAACCAACAATCAGCCCACGAGAAGCAGATCAACACCTCCCCCCCAGCCAGACTGGTTTGCACAAGTCAGATAATCATTCCTGGCTTTGATGGAAGAGTCTGCTGCCTCTTCCTCTGCTCAGGCTTTCACCGAGGCTGCGCTGAGGAGGAAACGGGGACAGGCCAGCCCCACTGCATTTCTAGTTACGCAAAGTTTTAATGCCAATGCAATCACCAGGGCAGGAGTTATGAAACAAGTCCAAGGGTTTCAGTGGAAAAATCCAAAGCAGACCAGGCCTGCAGTCAGTGCCTTGCACAAACGGACAGACGTCCTTGCTACAGCTAGAGACAGGGGAGCCTCGTCCCCTGAACAGGGACAGCAGCCTAGAGAGGTTAACACTGCACACATGCAGACACGTGTAGCAGAGGAGACATGGGCTTGACTCCCAACTCTATCGCTTCTTGTGGGACAACTCCCTTTGCTCATAAGCATCAGCCCTCACAGCTCGAGGACTGAGCAATGCCTCCAAGTTACCCGTTCCTTCCTCGACTCCGGTGCCAGCCTGCAGCACAGCCAGTTGGCGTAGCTAGCACGCAAGCATGCCCACCTGCTCCCTCATTTTAAAGTGGTGATTGGCTTTTCCAGTAGTCTGATTTCTTTAAGCCTTTCAAAAGAGACTGTGGTAACCTAGTGGGACACACCTGCTTGGGCTGGACCCAGGTGTGCATGGCACAGGCAGTGGTATAACTACGAGGCAGTGCAATGGATTCGCTACTGCATCCCCTTGCTGCCCACCCCTGGGGAAGGGGCATACATGGGCTCCAATACCCGCTTCAGGTACTTTGCTATCTGGCTTGACTTCCTCCAGCAGTTGCCTTTCAAGCAAGACCACTGCCTCTGACCCATCTTGACCTGCTTACCCATCATGTCCAGGATGCTTTGGTGGTTTGACACGATGACGCAGGGGCTGCCCACCTTGAAGTTCTCCAGCCCTTTCACTTCAAACCTCAGGCCATAAAGGTATTTGAAGGTCTTGACAACATTTTTGATGATTCTGCATTGGAGAGAAGAGTGCGGTCAGACCCCAGCAGGCAGCGAGGAACCAGGGTGTGAACGTACAGGGCAAGCATCTGCTATGAGCCCAGGACCTATGGACCCAACACCACTCTCAACCCCACCCAGAATAGTCTAGGTATGTCCTTTCTGGACTCAAATCTGCATTACATACTGCCCTGCTTGCCTTGCCATGTAATGGACCCTCTCCTGTCCCAGTCTGTCGGCTGCCATTTGCTTCAGCATGCCCCCAAGAGGCTGCCTCTGTCTCAGCTCATAAGTAAGGGCCAATTCTGGTTTCTCACCCCAATGGGCATTACAGCGACCAGGGACAAGGCCCCTCCATAGATGGTCGGAGGGACACAGATAAGTTGCACACGTGTGTTTGTACCATTTTGCTGGTAATGTAGCCACAGGGCAGAAGCCTTTCCCCTCCCTTTGATTTTGAAACCTTTACAGCCTGCAAAACAGCAGAGACCAAACAAGAGAAGGTATGCCAAGGACAGTGATCAGTCGCACACAATCTCCTGGATCTCCTCCCCTGATCCTCTTGCCGGCTTAGTCTCAGCTCATGCCCGGAACGCCCCTGTCCTCAGGGGAGAAGATTAGCCAAGTGATTGAGATGCTACAGAACCAGTTTGGCCTCCACTTCCGCCTGCCTCCTCCAACCGGCAAGTCAGGGAGCCGGGCCTCAGGGAGCATCCTGGAGCCACTGGCTTGCAGAGGTGCTCCTTCAAAAGGCAGCTCTGTGTAAAGGGTGGGAGCAGCCACAGTTCGAAGCAGAGGGCCTTTGTGGCCAAGGAAGCAAATCCCCAGTCTTGCACACCGGTCTTTGAGGGAACAGCTTTGCCTGCACAGAAGAGCAGGGGCTCCTGCGGGGTCAGTCAGTGCAGACCCCCGTTGCTGGGCCAGGCTGCTTTGCACAGAAAGAGGCCAGGCTCAATTCCACTCATCCGGCAACAGAGAAAATTTTGTTTTAAAAAGTTTGCTTAGCTTGGCTGGAGGCTGGCCAGGTTGTTCCCCCTCAAACCCAGGGGGATCCCTATTAGCTGCCAGCTCCAAGGGGCAAAGCCACCTGCTAGAGCCAGGTGATTGGGACTGCTCGGCACCTGCCCAGCACAACCCCGAACCGAGGCAGCAGGTTTGAGCTGCAGTAACCTTTGCATCAGCGAAGCAGGGGGGAGAGGGTGGGTTAGAATGAGTCAGGCCATTAGTCACGGAAAATACCGTGCGCGGCAGAGCTCTGGTCTCCCACATCTTGCCAAAAAGCCTCTCCCCAGCCGTGGCATGGGCCTCTCCCGAGCTGTCGGAGCTGCTATTGCCGTCTCCACAGCTAAGCTGCATGTAAAAGAGCTCTTCCAGAGTCATTCCAGACCGAGATGCCAGTTAAGCCGAGCTGCTAAAACAAGGCATGGCAGCGAGCCCAGAAGGCAGGCAGCAAGCTGGAAAGCAAATGCCACGTCCGGCTGCAGGCGCAGCGGGAGGCAGCGTGGAGCAGACTGGTCTGCTTGGAGGACACGGTAGCCTGCAAACCCTGGGCGGCTATGCTCTAGAGGACCGCAGCACAGCTCTCCCAGGGAGGCATTACATGTTCTTCTTTCACACGGCTGCCACGCTGGGGTGCGGACCAGGCTTCACAGCCCAGCAAAGGGTGCAGAGCCCCTGGGGTCAGCGTGCATCGGCCCTTTCACACAGGCTTGCCTCCCTGCTTTGCACTAAACAGCTGCCAAAACACAGATCGCAAGCACGTTTAGGCATTCCCCATCCAAGGGGGAAGTTAGGGCAGCATGGCCACGCTGCAGGCTAGGCCTCCGCTGGGGTGCTCTCACCGGCCAAGCTCGGATCGCATCCTGCTCCGACTCCAACCAGGCCAGCAAACCACCCTGCCCAAAATCATTTACCAACACCCTGACACTTGCCAGTGGAAAGGGCTCCCCACACCCTCCCGAGACCAACCGGGTGCTCCTCATGCCACCACGATGCTGGGAGCCAGCCCAGCTGCTCGGGTGCTATGAACCTTCACCCAGGATCTGTGCACCTGGAGAGAAAGAGAAAGATGGAGGAGAGCCTCATTAAAAGCCAGATCTGATTTTCAGGTTTGTTTTCGATCCAAACAGACGCCGGCATCCGTGGCCAGCTGAGCTGCGTGGGAAATGGGAAGCAGCCCGTGTCCCCACCCATGGAAAAGGCGTGGGCCAGTTCCACATTCCCCGGTTCAGGTCTGCCACGGGACAGGTCCGGGGGAGGCAGCACAAAGCCCAAAGATGCCTTTGCCCCAGTTTCCGTGCCACTTTCTGCTAGTCCCAAGCACCCTCCCGGCCCTCCCAAGATTTGGGGCAAAGTCTGGAGCTTTCCAGACAAGACCAGGGTATAACTAAGTGAGATGTGAACGCTTCAAACACGGCGCTCGTTTTGGCCAAAGCAGCTGAGAGGAAGCATCTGAGCACAGAGCGAGTCTTTCTAGATCCAAGCAATAAGTCGGGAGAGGGCTGCTTTCCCTCCCAGACCGTTACCACAATGACTAGGTTGACTTAAGGCACGTCTAGAGAGCCCTGAGACAGCAGACAAGTGATGTGAAGGAGACAGCCCGAGCCTGTCTTGTCATCAGAGTGCCAGGAGCAGGCTGGTACTATCATGGATTTGATACTCTAGCTGCAGGACACAAGTACCGCTCCACTGTGCCAGTTCAAGCTACAATTCAGCCCTCCGGCCTATTCCCCGCAGTTTCTTTGCAAGGGTCAGAGGACATGCCTTGCTCTGTGCCAGCTGGCTGACATCAGGGCTGGCATCTCCACGACAGGAGGCTGAGACAAGATGCCTCCCAACCTGCTGCTAGCGACGAGGACTCGGGGGTGACCAGGGCGGTGCAGACCTGGCGCGCTCGTGATGGCTCTCGTAGCCAGGAATCTGCAGCAGATGCTCGAAGCACGATAGTCTATTCCTGGGCACGGCCCTGCCAGCATGCTACGAGGCAGCAGGAACCAGCGTGCCCTACGCCAGTGAGCAACCACTGACCCTTGTCCTGTCCCTCTCTCCACACCTGCCTCCCAGGCTCTGCCAAGCAGAGAAGAGGTCACTGCTCTAGCGACGCTTGCTCACAGGGCGTCAGTGGGAGCAGTGCCTCTCTCAAGGGCAAGAAACACGGCTTCCGGACAGGCATTGCACAACCTCGAGTCACAGCAGCTGGAGACCCGGGTGTAAGATGAGACGCTAGGCTGCAAGAACAGGGCAGAGGGGAGGGGACATTATGGCTGGGCTTTTCCCTGCCCCTGGCAGGGGACATTCGGCTTGTGCTACTGCTGGCGGAGACCAGAGACAGCCTGCATTACCCGGCCCCCCACGCATACGCTCAACAGGGCTCCCGGCTCGCACAGACCACTCCCGCTGGCTGCAGGATAAGAGCCGTTTTCACGTTCCTGGGCTGCAACTTCCACGGGGAGGGGCGAAAACCTTGCGGCTCTGCACCGCCCTGCCCATAATTACAGGGGGAAGAGACTGGGATCAAAGGCTTATTATAGCACACTCAGTTGCCCTGTGAACGAAACTGTGTTCCAGCAGCTGAGAGCCCATGGCTTTGCTCAAGGACAAGGGCACATAGCTGGAGCCAGCGAGACTGAAGTACGGACCGGGGAAGAGCATGAAACGGAAAGCAGGAGTTGGCAGGAGTGCAGAAGGAAGGGCTAGTTGTCTGGCCCAGTGACTCTCAAGCAGGGTGCCACGAGAGCCTTTGAAGGGTGCCCCAGGAAGCAAGAGGAGATAATGCCGATAAGGGCAGGTGTATCTCCCGGTGCCAGGAGAAAAGCAAATAAGGGTGGGTTCAGGCACTCCCTTGCTGGCTCCTGCCCAGCCCCTCTGCAATACATGAATGAGTTTTTAAGATAGGGCACCTGGAATTAAAAATAAATAAATAAATAAAGGTTGAGAAACACAGATCTAGCCAAACAAAGCACCAAACCTTGGAGCTGGCAGTGGCTGCGTCTCAGGGAAGCCTGTGGCATACTCTTAACCTGCTTCCTACTCGCGCGTGACCCAAGGAAGCGAACTCTAGCTACAAGGGTCTATTCCAACAGCTGCATCCTTTTCTCAGCCTCTGCCTTAGTCCTCTGACCCCCTTGCTGCAGCTCGGGGCCCTATGCAACAGCAGCGGGACCCGGCTGGCAGCTTTGCGGGTGCCCACTGGGTTACGACAAGCAGCCAAGCTATTGCAGCAGCGGGTCTGAGGAGTTGCTCCCAGAGCTGCTACCATCCATTTGTCCGTCCACAGCAGCAGAGCCGTGGTGCTTCGACTGGGGTTTATATGGTTGCAGAAAGGACAGAAGGAAAAACTTCTTTACCATCCGAGTTTCCAGAGCCTGGAATAGACTCCCCGCAGAAGCGGTGCAAGCACCTACTCTGGCGTATGCTCGAGAAATGCCTGGATGCTCACCTTGCTGGGGTGATCTGACCCCAAATGACTTCCTGCTCTTTGGGCAGGGGGCTGGACCCGACCATTGTGAGAGGTCCCTTCCAGCCCTAATGTCTATGAGAGCTTCCAAAACTAGAAATAGTTGGTACCTAAAATGCCAGCTGAACGGCTGCCAAAGTTAATGGCACTCATCAGCTTCCTGCTACCACACTACTTCCAGTCCCAGCTTTTTACTTACACTTTTCACATCAGAGACCTGGGTTACTGAAGTGCAAGGCCTGCAATGGAGGATCTACGAGGCCAAGCATGATAAGCCGCTGAGGATGTATTTCAGGCTTTCAAGGTTCAAGAGGGCAAGACACGCAACTTCACCGGCATTACGTGCTTCCAGCAGTGGAGACTCATTGAAGCTTGCTGCTGACGTGACGCTACAGCGACCTTTCTCCCATCACGCCAGGTTTGTCACTACACAGCCAGGTGGCAAGGCTTTGCAGGTGGGGCGGCAAGGCCAGCTCTCCTTATCCAGGGGACATCATTTCTACTGTCATCTTCCAGCAACGCAGGCTGAATCCAATCCACTCGTCTAAGGCCAGAGGACAGAGTCAGGGGGGCCATTCCTGGGCCAAGGGCTCAAGGCTCAGCGCATCCTTTCCCCCCCCCACCCCGAGACCTGTTCAGGAATTTGGGCCAAGGGTCAGAAGAGGCTTGTTCGCTTTAACCCGTCTCTCACGGGAGCGGAGAGACTTCAGGCAAACTTGAGAGGTTCAACACAACCCAGACTCCCCCCCCCGCAAGACTCAGAACACAAGCTCTCCCCATTCTAAAATTTAAGAGAAATGATCAAACCCGAGTGAAATGGTTTGGGGCAATGAAAGCATCCTTTGAGGTTCCCTCTTTGAAAAGGTTTTAGGTTCTGCCCAGGGGGAGGGAAGCAAACCCCCCCCCCAAAAAAACAGAAGTTTCCCCTGGTATAGAAAGTCAGGCCCTGGCAAGATCTGCTGCTCATAGTTTCACCCCAACTATTTCTAACACAACACTGGTGAGGAGACAGAAAAGGAGCTTTGTTGGTCCCAGAGGCAGGGGGAAACCAAGAACCTGCGCTTGGTCTCCATCACCCGAGCGAGCGCTGCATGGATCTGGGCTTAAAGGCAGAGCTGAATGAGTCACTTGCTGCCCATGGCAGTCCCAGGCTGGTCCCTATTTCAGGCAGGCCAGCTCTCCTGGAAGCACCAAATGCAGCTAGTACCGCAAGCACAGAGAGCGGAGTCAGCTCTGTTAATGGGGGAAGGACAGCTCTGCCCCAAACTAAAGCAGCACCCTGCTCCTGGCTGAACATGCCCCACTAAGAGACCCTGTGCATAGGTGTGGGTGGAAGGGAAGGGGTGGGGGGGAAAAAGAAAGAGGAAAGACTATGAAGCAGCAAGCTGACTACTATAGATGAATGCATTCCCCGTGCAGCCACTGCAAGCTTTCACACCTGAAGGCAATCATGCATCCAGGCAGCTGCTTCAGCTTCCCTTAGCGTGCTGCAGGCCAAGGCCTCCTGCCTAGCTAGGGATACGCAGTAATGTCTTGGCCATTTAATGCCCCTATGCAAACCCCTTGCGTGATGCATTTAAAATCCAATGCAAGCTTGCATACATCTCATCGCCAGCCTCGTTCCCCTTCTTGCATCTAGGTCGCTGCATGCAGAGATTTCAAATAAAAACCCCCATGGAAGAAGAGGGAGAGCCAGCTTCTTGCACAGCATTCGCTTTCCACACCCGGAAGGCCCCGGGGGGGTTTCCTGGCACCAAGGCATGACATTGCGAGGGTAAAAAGGCTGCAGGGACCAGCTTGCAACATCCAACTGTTCTGACCTGCAACTCCACAAACTTTTGGGGTTATCATCCACTGTTCCTAGGTTTGAAGAAACAGATTATCAACCAGAGACCCTTGACAGCCGGCACGGACGATCCACTGAACGGTCTAGCTCTGCTCTCCATGTTCAAGCAAACTAAAAACGCATCAAATACCCAAAACGGATACAAGGGGAAAGGAAGGAGGAATACTGAATTATCAAAGGTCCGAGGGAACTTTTACCCCTCACCCTTCCCCGCCCAAAAAAGGGGATTGCCAAGCTCTGATGAAGTACAGCGATTGCTTCGACACTAGGAAACAGCTCACACGGTCAAACAAAGTAGAGTTAGGTTTTCCTCCAGATTTGGAGAAAAAGACAGCGGCAAAATCATTAGTTTCTACTGGGCTGCTGGCTTCTAAGAGCACATGCAGCAGCACCCAGAACACGTTCACCTGCCTTGAAGGACCCTGCTAGCACCTTGAAAGGCTGCAGACTCCCCCAGGCCTTGCAGTAGTTCCTCAAGCCCCTTTAAATCCTCTCCCAAGGAATTGGGGGCTGTGTTTTTTTGGTTTTGTTTTTTTTAAATATTCCTTCGCAACCTGCCCTTATGCACCCAGTTGCACAAGGAGGAAGTGGGGGCCAGCCGTCCATCGCATGACTACACAGGGTTGTTCCGGTGCCAACACAACCAGGCGCAGGATGTTGTGAAAGGATTACGATGGGTACATGCAAGGGGTTGCCCAACAAGCCCTCCATCAAGGGATTGATTGCTAGAAAGGCCGGTGCTACATCAGGCCGTGGAAGAACCAGCATCCCAGGCCCAGTCTCTTCAGGCATGGGTAAGGGTTGCACATAAGATAAAAGGAGGCGGATTCACTAAGTTCAGAGGCAAGTAGTGCACACCTGCAGCCCACGTGATACCAAGTACCGGCCTCACTCCTCCTGGGTTTCTAGGGCATACTCTAGAGCCTTTGGGATGGGAAAGGTCATGCCTCCCTCCCCACTAAAATGAAGCCACATCTAGGGCAAGCATGGCAGCTCCCCACCTGCAAGAAGAGCAGAAGAAATCTTCAAGATCAGGCCATGCACTCCTAGGGCACCCGCAAACCTTCTCCCGTGGGAACCTGCCGGGCCAGCACCTTCACACACCTCTCACGGGGTCCTGTCCAAGCCACACTCCCCAAAAAGCCTCCTCAACCCAAGGAGGAACTTCTTAAGCTTGCCCAATCCCATCTTGACCTTTTCCCTGCACTCAAGTGTTTGCTTGAGAAGTGGCTTATCTGGAGCCACTCTCTCCTGCCTGCTTTTTCCCCACCTGCTGCCCTCACCCCTGCAGGCAAAACCCGAGTCAACATTTATTCCTGCAGTGCATTTATGCTACAAGTCAAGCGAGTCCCAAGGCCGCTGTCAAGACCCTTGATGCTCTAATAACGCTTAAAAACTACTGAGCAACTCAAACGGCTACAAAAGCCCTTCGCTCAAAGCTGCCCTGGAAGTAACCAGGACTCTCACGTGGCCGCAGTAGAGACCGGCTATGCGACAGCTTCTCCGTTTTCTCCCCTCCCCTCCAAGGAGTGTCACCACCAGATTTTTAAAGTGTTTTTTCTCCCCCCAAACCAAGTCAGCCAGCAAGAGGAAAACACAAGCGCCACCTTCGCTGCCGCCTGCCATGACTTCACACCTTCAGAGGTGCAACAGTCAGCGCGCCCATGCTGCAGGTAGGATAGTCCACTCTTTTCTCAAATGCTCGCGCCTCCAACCCAAAGGATCCGATGCAAGCTGAGCATATATATTTTTTTACCCTGGGCAACAGAGATGGAGGGATTAAAACCCCCATAAAAAACAAAACTTGTTTAAGTGCAAATGCTCTATGGAAACGGCCAGGCTACCCAGGCAGATGCAAACACAGACCCCTTACTTGTTTGCAAAGCCCAAGCAATGCGTTTTCCTAGCTAGCAACCGGCCGCGCTGCGCTCAACCTCCAGCAAGCCCACACAAGCCCTTGTACTTCAAAGCAATTTAAGCAACAGATTTTTGGGTCCGGGGCCCGTTTCTAGAATGGGGTTTCCTAAGCGCATTGATCCTGCAGATCCCAACTCGAACCGGAGTTGCACAAAGACCTCCCTGCTCACAACAATGCAGCCTGTTTGTAGAAGCACAACCCCTCGTGCCTGCCACGCTCCTCGGTCACACGGGCTGGCACTGCAAAAGCTATTTTGGGTATTTCTAGCTATCTCCTGATTACAGTTAAATCGCTGGGATGGAGAGGAGTCAGCAGCGCGTGACCGGGTTTCCACCCCCCCGCAGTCAGGAGACACAGCAGGGGTTGCACACCTGTGTCTAGAGCCATTTGCAGTGTACATATAAAAGAACTGCTATGGACCGGGTCAGGCCGAGGGACCACCTCGCCCAGTCGCCTGTATCAACCTCTGGCCCTCGCTCCTGTCCTTGCCGGGTTATCATTTGTCGCTGGAAATCAGCTGGCACGCGGGCATCCCGTTCAGGTGTCCCGTTCAGGGGCTGTGCCTCTGCACTCCAGAGCGGCAGATAATCCTTTCCTCCGAGGCAAGAGCGTATCCAAGCCCGAGGACGTGTCCGCCCACATCGTTCCACATCTCGGGTCAACTCAATTCCCAACTCCGTCGGCTCAGTCCTGCCAGCACCTGCGATGCAAGGATGCTGCCGCCCCAGCTTCAGCCCGGGGCTTCAGAGACTCCCAAATCCAGGGCAGCTTCCTAGCACAAGCCCCAAACCCGGCGGGGTCCAGCTGCTCAGGGGAAAGCAGCACAGCTAGGAGAGGGGTCCTGCCATGGGACTGCCCTAGGGGTGCGCACCCGCCCGCCTGCCCGGGGTCTGCCTAGCACCAGCGATCCCGTTCCCCCCAAGCCCCTCCAGCCCGGCCCCAGTGGCTGCGACGCCACCGCCCCCGGGCACCCGCCCCATGGTGCGCACGGGGCGG